GGGGAACTGAGGTGCCAACATTGTCTTGGAGCCTGGGAGCTGGCACTTCTTTCCCCCCATGCTAGGTTCTGCATACATCCACGACTTTCTGTGTTTCATTCTCCCCAGGAGAATATGCCTTCTAGAATCTGGCCCTGTCCCCTCCTGCTGTAATAGAAACTTAATTCTTTTCCTGTTCTAAGAAAAAAGGAAGAAAGAGCCAATCATCTTGCTGTCTCATAACCCTTCATGGCCTTAAAGACCATTATTAAATTGTCTTATTGCCTATAATTCAGGGAAGAGAAAAATTTTTCCCTGATTTATCAGGTCAATTGTCTTCATAGTCTATTCTCCGTGGGCCCTGAGAGGCTATGGATTAAATTGGCCTCATCATTTTGGCTGTGAAGATGGGGGCTGTGTGCCCTGACCCTCACATACCCTCTTTCCCTCTCCTCTGTCATGCTGGCCACCCCCACCCTACCTATTCTGGCTCTCAAATCTAATTTATCTTTGAAAAAGTCAGGCACTTAGAGATTGTCTAACAAAAATGGTTGAAGACAAACTTCTGGGCAGGCAGAGGACACTGCAGGTTACCCTGAACAAAAGGTTATCCCGGCCCAACATACAGCCTGCAGCCCCTCTCCATGGCAAGGGCGTGGGTGAAAGTATTGTTGTGCCCACAGGCTCCTAGTCGGTCTTACCTGCTCCTTCTCTCTACTTCCTCCCTGCAGGACTGAGGCATGGAGTAAAGAGTAAGAATCCTGAAATGGGATCAAAATACTCAAATCTGGTTTCAGCTCTGCCCTTGTTCCCTGTGAGTCGTGAGCAAGTCGCCCCCCATCTCTAGGCCTCATTGGTCTATCTGTGAAATAAGATCATTGGATGGAGTTGGCCACCAGGTGTCTGCTCATATGGTTATTTATCCTTGCAGACTGATTTCTGTGACACCCAGAAACCCAGAACACAGCTTTCTGCACCAGCCCCGAGGCCCGGGTCAGGGCATGGAATAGAGAGCGGGATGGAGCCATTAGAGACAACAATGTGAAAGCATTTAAGACTGTGGATGCACAGGATCCAGGTTGGCTCGGAAATCATTCCTTGAGCACCAACTAGGTGCTGGTGCTGCGCTAGGTGCTAGGAGTGCACAGGTGTGCTGCCCCCTGAGTTCTCAAGTCTAGCACAAGCAATTGATCCATGAATAGATCATTTCAAGATAACATTACAAATGACACACTGGACACTTGTGAGTACTCGGGGGCTATCGAAGCCTGAGACAGCCTGACCTGGAGGGTCAAGGCAGGTTTCCCATAGAGGGTGGTGCCTAAAGTGTTTCTGAGCATGAATCAGCCAGATGAGGGAAGGTTCACAGAAGGCGTTTGCAGCTTGCAGGAGCTGCCTCTGCATGGTGCCAGGCGCTGGAGCCGGTGGGCAGGGGCTGGGTGTGGAGGGAACTTCAGGCCCTCCAGCCAGATAAAAGGGTGGAGCCCATGCAGGGCTTCATCTTGGAGAGGCCTGAGCCAGACAGGGATGTGTATAGATGTGCATTGCAGGAGGAGCATTCTGGCTGCCCTGAGCAGAGGCAGGCTGGTGAGTGCAGATCGGGCAGGGGCAGGGGGAGCTGGCAGAGTGAGTGGCTGGAAGAGCAGCACCCCTTCTTCCTACCCCTCTTCCCACGGTGGATGGTACCTACCCGGTGCACCATGGAGGACTCTGCCTCTCTCCAGCACACACACACCACACACATACACACGTATACCTCCATATAAATCACACGCATAAATGCATACAATGCACAGCACACACATGCTACATAGACATATACATACACATAGACACCACACACATAAACACACACCACATATACATACATACGCACATATCAATCACACACGTATACCCACATGCACCACACACAAAAACATGCAACACACACATACTCATTCACACACCACACACATATACACGTACACACATATATACCTCCACATGCTACATACACCACATATTTATGCAGATGCACACACATACACACATACACCACATATGCCCCTTATACACATACAAACACACACACACACACACACGCGGATTCCCTCAATTCTTAGTTGACTCCCGTGCCCGTGGAAAGAACTGTCAGCATCCAAGGGCTATGACTGGCTGACCTGCTAGGGACAATTTTTATGGTTCCCCCGACTCCAGGATTAGTCTGGTGAGTAACACATTCCAGGTATAGCTGGAAAGCTTTTGAAGTGAGGTAGCTTCCTTCCTGGGGTGGCCTTGGTTCTTGGGGTGGTACTTAGTACTGGTATATAGGTAGGTGCCTTTTGGTTAAGCTCGTATCTCCCATTCATAATTTGGGGAAAGTGCTCAGAGGAGCCCTGTGAGCCCATGAACGCTGAGGCGTTCCCCAGGTCCCCCCAAAAGCTTCTGTGTCCTCTCTTCCCAGCCATGGAGAGTTTGTTTATTGCTTTTATTCCTCCAACAGCAAGGAAGAGACCTTAGGGGTCCCCAGAATCCTATCTTCACAAATAAAGTCAATGTATTTACTCAAGAACCCCAGAATAATCTGGCCAAGTTGGTAATCAAGAAAGATCAGTGCCCCCAACCCAGGTCCCTTCTTCCTGTCTGGATGTACCAGTCAGTCTTGGAAAGAATTTCAAGAATTCTTTGCTCTCCCTCTCCTAGGATGGATGCAGCATGTACCTACCTTGGCTCAGTCCCAGCTCCGGTGGGAGTGCGGCAGGGTCTCTGAGGTGATCAGACTACCTGGATGGGTGAACGCCCACAGGGAGGAAAGTTGGGCTCCTGGGCTCACCCTCAGCAGCTCCCAATCACATCCCTTTTATAGAGCCAGGGTGACGTCTCCGAGCATAAGCCCACCTCTGCCTACTCTCCCTCCTCCCTCCTCCCTCCTCCCCCCACTCCCCTCCTCAACCCTCCTGACCGCTGCTGCCTCTGCCTCCTGGCTCTCTGGTTAAGCTCGTATCTCCCATTCATATCTCCCTGCTCTCTTGGCTGGAGCAGGCCTCTCTCCTGCAGAAGTCCTCCAGGGCTGGCTTACCATTCCTTCCGTCCTCTGCCACCTTTCTCCCACCCACCCACTCAGCTGGAGACCTGCTGTTTGAGGAGTTATGAGGGGGGAGGGTGTCAGTGTGAAAAGTCTTGTTCCCTCTCTGACAAGAGGCACAGACACACCTAGTCTGAAGTGGATAGGAAAGGGGTGAGGAGAGGGGCACAGGCTGACCCGGGGGTTCTTTTTTTTTTTTCGAGATAGAGTCTTAAGCTGTCACCCTGAGTAGAGTGCCATGGCGTCACATCCCCTGCATCTGGCTCTGAGAGAAAGCCGCTCAGTTCAGGCCTCCAACCAGAAAGAGCCAGAGAGAGAGCAGCTCCTGGGCAGTGTCCTGCAATTGGTGGGAAGGGGGGGGGGTCTGTCCTTTATTCTTCCTTTTTTCTTCCCCTCTTTCCTCGATCACTGAGCACTTCCTCCGCACAGGGTTTTGTGATGAATATAATGAGATAGGGTCAGATGAGCGAGATCGAGATCGGGATATAAGCAACTGGCTCTAAGAAAGGAAAATAAGATGGTAGCTCTACAAGTGGATGCCCCTGGGAACTGCCAGGGATAGCAGAGAGGTGACTTCCAGGTGGCAGCACATCCAGAGAGGCCGCACTGGGGGCCCCCTTGTCTCAGACTGTTTTGTGATTGTTGGTGTACTTTGAGGGCAGAGACAGGCCTCCTTTCCCCAGTGCCCTCAGCATCTATTCCATTGCTTGGTACATACGAGGAGAGCCCTCAGTAGGTGCTTACTAAATGCATGCTTTACAGGTGATTCTCATCTCTTTCCTGAGCCTGCAAGAATTCCCTTTATGCTTGGACAAGGGGCTCTCCAAGATAGGGACTGTTTCTTCTATCAGACTAGGAGTCTCTGAAGGCAGGCGCTGTGCCTCCACCCCCAGATGGGAAGTTCTCCCAGCACAAGCTCTACCTGGTCGGTGCTCTGTGCAAAATAATCACCCAATGGCTGAGAAGCTCTCTGACAGTGTGTGGGATTAGTACCCATCCCTTGTCCAGCACTTACTGCTAATGGGCTTGCAAACACTCATTAGGGCTATTAAATATCTGGATACAAATTATAGCCTATGAGAAGAGGACCACAACTTTGCCACATGGAATGATGGTGTGTGTGGCCTGCTCTGAGGCAGGGGATGGGCTTAATTAATGGGACACTGACTTGAGTCTCAGACACACTCTAGGCTTGAGGATTTAATCTTCTCTTTTCCTCCCATAAATATAGGGTGGGGATGTTATACCAGCCCCAATCTGATCTGCAAGGGGCCCTGGTCTTTCCTGCCAGCAGTTCTGGTAGCTTCTTAAGCGGACTTAAGGATTTGGGTTAGTCACTCAGCTCCATCTTTCCTTCTGGGCTTGAGGAGGTCCGGATATGCAAGGAAGTGAGTCAGTGCTGGGTGGGGGCTCTGAGGGGGTGGTCCCCATTTTCCCTCCAGCCCCCTCAACCAATGATCTAAGTTCAAGGAGTTCATCTCTGTCATTCAGACCATTGAGCTGGTGCCTTGAAGCCTCTGGAACAGCTGTGGAAACCAAGAATCATTACTTCAGACAAAGAGTGGAGAGCAGACTCAATATCCAGGTTATTAGTGAGCTGGCCTTGGGAGCTGGGAGCTGTGCCAGGCACAGCTATGGAGAGAGGGTTGGCGGGGGACGTACTCAGCTGGCAGGCACAACTAGGTGCTCTCTGCAGGTTCCTCCCTGCCCCCCTTCAGGGTCCTCTGAGAGCTCATATTCCATCAGGTGCTTCAGAGAAAGGGAGGGGCAGGGTCTGGAATCACTGGCCATGCCTGCCTCGAGGACAGGACAGAGCTGGCCACCTGCTTCCCTGCTGTTATAGGCTATTACCCATCCTCTCCATGCTTGGGCCCAGACTTAGCCAGTTTCCCAGAAACCTTGGGCACTTTCTGGCTAAGTGTCCATTTCTTTGATTTGAACAAGGAGTTATTCATTTAGGCACAACTGCTTGTGGATCCCCTCACCATGAAGGTGCTGAAGACAGGCTAGAGGGTCTCAGGGCAGAGGGGCAGCAGTTTTACCAGGACCATGTGTCTCCCCCTCCCCAAGGCACCACCACTGAGCCACTCACCGTGCTCAGGAAGGGGATGCTGGAGGTGTTGCCTAGGAAGCCAAAGGCGACAGGGAAAAAGCCCCTAGGAGCAGAGAGGAGGAGAGAGGAGTCAGTGATGGCCCAGGAGGAGAGGGTAGAGGACTCAGCCAGGCTGAGGTCCACCACAGGCTCGAGCTGACCTCAGCTATGCAGAGCTGCAGGGATTTGCACTCACTTGAACAGGCTGAAGAAGCCGTAGGTTTCCAGCAGCATGCCCAGGAGGGGCCAGCGCAGGAGCACAATGACCACACCCCCTAAGAAGAAACTGGTCCCCTTGAGTTTATGCCGCTGGAAGAAGAATGTAAAGGTCTTCTTCAAGCCGATGATGAAGGAGAGGCCCGTCAGGAACAGTAGCTGTAGGGAAGGGAGAGAAGTGTGAAGCAAACACACCCACCCGCTAGGAGTTGGGCACTCAGCCCGGCCAGACCTGCCAATCTCTCAGTGCATATCAGAGAGGGTGCCCAGAACGTGGGAGCATCCCAGGGCCTTGAGGGAGTCAGGCTGGCTGGGAACAGACCAGAGGCGGGGGGCAGACAAGGAGAGCTCATTTCCCACCCAATTCCTTGGATCCCAAGCACTTCTTCATACATGACTTTGTTTCCCATTGTGCCTCCCAGAGAAGGCGGGATAGACTGTGAGAGTCTCTGCGTTTACAAGGAGAAAGACTGAGATCTAAATAGGTCAGGCAGCCACAGCCAAAATCACACAGAACCCTTGAGGCTCACAGCTCTAGACTGTTATTCCAGACCTCGCCCAAGGGCCCTATCACCTCTCAGCGTGGCTCCAAATGACCCCTTAGGAGTGCCCGGCACTGGGCAAATATAACCGTGACTTTTTTCTAGCATGTCCCTGCTTCCCCTCCCCCATGTCCTCGCCTTTTCTCTTACTGTTCCACCCCCGGAACAGATTCCTTTCCACCTTTTTCCAGTTAGGTAAGCTTGTTCTCCTTTTAGTCCCTTGTTTTACATGAAATATGTTTTTGTTGTGACTTTACCAGTGGCCCACCTTCCGCCCCCTTGACAGTGGGATTCAGATGGCAGAGATACCCAGGGCCTGGCTCAGAGCCTGGTGGGAGAGAATCCAGGCGCTCAGCGTCTCCGTGCCAGCAGGCTGTGGTCCCTCTCCTGCAGCCCTCTCCCACCCTAATGTCTGGCCTCTGGTTGGGCATGATCTGAATGAACTTGGAGCTGGCTCCGCTGGCAACAGAGACCTCTGGAGAGTTGGGGCTGGGGAGCATGGAGGGGTGGGAGACTCACATTTCCGAAGGCCAGGAGCACTGAGTCAAAATACAGGAGTATCCCGAAGAGGATGAAGAAGATTCCAAAACCAGTGATGCCCACACCAATCTCTGCAATGGACAGGGAGGTTGTGGGGGGGGGACGGGGTGGGCTTTGGGGAGCAAAACTTTTCCCATCACCACAGGACAGGCACTCTCTAGGGAGTGGTTTCATTTCCATCCAGGAACCTAGGCGTCCCTAGGCAGGGTGGAAGGATGAAAATGAAGGTGTGCCTAGTGCCTGGGCACTGTGCTGGCCTCTTGTACACACGATGGTCCTGGGTAGAAGCTGGCCCTGGGCAGAAGCTGGCGCTGCTCTTAACACACTATACATTCATATGCTACTGTATGCAGATCAGGGTTGGGCTGAACACAGCCATCTGTCTCCCCTGGTCCTGCCTCGTACAGCTGAGAACTGCTGGAGCCCAACCCCACAGAGGCAGAAGGGCATCACTGAAAACCCAGCATGGCCAGCCCCAGACCAGCTCAGGACTACCCAGCGGGTCTGCTGTTTACTCAAGAGATTTTTCCCTTATCTTATAGGGGTACAAGTGAATCTTTCTAAGAGTAGAATGTGAACGTTTTAAAACAATAACTGGGAAAATGACATGAAGGCTGTGTTGACCAGTTTGATGGAAGTATTTCGGATTGCATGTGAAAACCCCACACTGTACCCCAGAAGTGCATTCATGTACATAGTTACCATTCAATAAAAAAATAAAATAAAATAAAATTTTAAAAAAGAGATTTTCCCCATGGGCCGGGTGCAGTTACTCATGCCTGTAATTTCAGCACCTGGGAGGCCAAGGCAGGTGGACTGCCTGAGCTGACGAGGTCGAGAACAACCTGAGCCAGAGCGAGACCTTGTCTCTATAAAATAGCCGGGTGCCTGTAGTCCCAGCTACTTGGGAGGCTGAGGCAAAAGAATCACTTGAGACCAAGAGTTTGAGGTTGCTGTGAGCTGTGAAGCCACAGAGCTCTACTGAGGGCAATGGAGTGAGCTCTGTCTCAAAAAGAAAAGAGGTTTTCCCCATGGAACAGCCCTCCTCACTGTCTCCTTTCTCCTCCAGACTGCCCTGCTGCGGCTCTCAGGTACTGACCCATCACATTTTACTGGGAAAATAGAAATCATGAGTCAGGAATGTGTTTGGCCTCCCAGCCTGGGACCCACTCCCCAGCTTGCACCTGCTCCCATCATCCTCTCTCCCTCCTGCAGCAGCCGCCCTGCCTACGCCCACCACTGTCATTTCAGCCCCATGGCATTGGGTGTTCTACTGAGGTTGGACACATGCTGACAGTAACCTACCTGACAGTGACCTGCCTCCATTTGCAATGTGTCTCAAAATATTCTTTGAAGTTAGCTCAGAGCCAGTGAGCACAGCAGAGAAGTGCAAGACGTTGAGGTTCCCTGGTTTGGTCAAGGGCTGCATTTTTGACATTTTGATACATAGAATATTATCACGCCCCACAAGAAGAGGTCTACAATACAGGATACAAAGCTCCTTTTTCCTTAACCCTCGACATTTCACAGAATGGTTCATGTTATTTATCTTTGCCAGTATGATAATCAATGAAAATTCATTTATTGTTCTTCATTTTAAATTCCATTACATTTTAAAATTTTAAATTATGGCAAATGCACATAAAATACAACATTTATCATCTTACCATTTTTATTTTATTTTTGAGACAGAGTCTCACTTTGTCACTCTTGTGACAAAGAGTGCCCTGGTGTCCCATTCCGTAGGTTGCCTTTACATGCTGTCAACTGAGTCCTTTGATGCATCTGATTGATCTGTTTTTTTTTCTTTTGTGCCTATGCTTTTGGTGTCATAGCCAAGAAAGCATTGCCAAATCCAGCATCATGAAGACTTTCTCTGTGTCTTCTTCTGAGAGTTTTTATAGTTTTAGCTCTTATTTTTAGGTCTTGGACCCATTTAAGTTAATTTTTGTATACGGTATAAAGGGTCTGACTTCATTCTTTTGCATGTGTGCTCATATATCCAGTTTTCCCAACATTTGTTGAAATGAATGTTCTTTCCTTATTGAATAGTCTTTTTTTTTTTTTTTTT